CACACTATGGACTGAAAACACCCTAAAAGCAAATCCCTGGATCTTCTTAAATAAAAAGTCACTTCCCAGCCTCATTAATTCTACAGGCTTGACATCCCATATGTAAAATGTTCTTTGACTAAAGGATGCCAACAGATGGTTGTGCTAAATGACCAATTTATGCACCCATTCTTGTGCTGGTGGAGAGAAAATATTTTGACCACCCCCAGTATAATGGCACCTAGGAGTTCCAGAAAGAGTGTCACCAAGGACACACGCTGCCGCTACGCTACAGACTGCTTTTAAACAGCCTTTTGTCTATTTAGAAGTAGATGGCTCCTGAATTATTAATTCAGTGAGACAAATAATTATGTCATATTGCAACCTGGCAGGGCGCATCATCTTGTCATGACAGCTGCTGCTCCAGGCACCTCTGCTGGAGAGAAAATTGAAGAAGAATCACCAAATTCAATTTCAGCTTAGTTAAGCATGTTGGACCAAATCACAGAAATGAAAAGGTGTGTGTTTAATTTAGTTTCTTTTCTCTGCTCACTGTATTAGTAAGGAAGATCATAGTGCTCTAGGCTCTAACTCTAAAATACATCACTAACAGCAGAGAAAAGAGGATAGGGGCACAGATCCTTAGGGTATGAGCAAGGATAACAATAAGAATTAAGAAGATACCCGGTGAGGGCCCAGGAAGTTGGAAAGTTTCCACAAAGTTTAGGGGCAGTCCCTTTCCTCTATTGCCCCCTCTGCAGGGGTTCCTAAGCTAGGCTTTATCAGACCTGTGAACCCTCTGGATAACACAAATACATACCCACATAATGCGTATCCATAGGGAATACCTATAACATCTATCAGCCTGTTTCAAATCCCTGAAAGGTCACACCATATATACTCTGTTATCTACAGTCTATGCTGAGTAACCCCCTTTGGCTTGGCCCCTCCCGTGAACCTGATGAGACCTCCCATCCACCTCCCTACCTAGTCCAGCACCCGGCTGCTCTCCCTGCCTCCTTCCTGGTCCCCTTATCTCCTACAGCCTCGCCTTGCCTGGCCTTTGCCCTGTGCGAGGGACATTTTTCCACTTTCCATTTGCCAAACTGTAGCTCACCCATCACTCCAACAGCCATTCAGAGAATCTTTCTTACAAAATAACATCTCCAACTAGGTAGAAACTGCTATTCCAATTCCCTCTCAGTCAGCATGGGGAACAACATCATAAATCACTGTTCTCCCCTCCCGATCCCCCTGCCAACACCCCGGAAGGTCTGTGATAATTCCTAGACAGCACAGAATACAACCCTTTGCATGCACTTACTGTTTCCACCCCATGGATCACTGCATTAGTGGATTCTTACAAACAAAACTACACAAATACACAGGGTTGCAATAATCATTAATTATTACAATTAACTGAGCACTCTCCACATGTAACTGTCCTAAATGTTTGCACATTTAATATTTCATTTAGTCCTTACAATCCATCCATGAATTTATTCATCAAGCAAACATTTATTAAGTACCTCCTGTGTGCCAGATACTATTTGAGGTATTGAGGATACAGCACTGAAGCAAAATGGAAAAAAAAAAAATGCTATCTTTACAAGCTTAGATGTTAGTGGGTGTAGGTTGAATATAAATAAATCAGTAAGTAAATATTTAGCAGCTAGAGGGTGACAGGTTCTAGGGAAGAAAATGCAGCCCAGTGATGAAATGCCAAGTCCTGAGACAAAGGCCTCACTGATGAGGTAAGCATACAGGAAGGAGCTCAAACCCAAGAAAAATCCGAGTGTAAGGGTCCTGAGGAAGATGCTGGCTTGTCTGGGGAACAGCACGGACAACGTGGCTGGAGGAAAAGTGGGATCTATACTGTCTCCAATTTACATTCAGAGAAACTGAGATTTATGAGAGCGAAGTGGGTTGAATGGCTGTGCCCCTGTCAAAATATGTCCTAACCCCCAGAACCCACAATGGAATTATCCTTGAAAGAGCATCTCTGCAGATGTAATTAAGCTAAGAATCTGAAAATGAGAGCATCCTAGATTATGGGGCCAGCCCCTAAGTCCAATGGCAAGTGTCCTTCTAAGGGAGAGAAGAGAAGAAGACAGCCGAATAATGCAGCCCAAGGAATGCTGACAGACACCAGAAGCTGAAGGAAGTGAGGAAGGAGTCTCTCTAGAGCCTCCAGAGGGAGGGGACCCCAAAAACACCTTGATTTCAGACTTCTGGCCTCCAGACTGGAAGAGAACACATTTCTGCAGTTTGCAGCCACCCAGTCTGTGGTTCTTGATTCCAGCATCCCCAAAAGCTTATCCAGAGGAGTTAGATAAAGTGCCCAAAGCCACAGAGCTCTTTGGGTGGACAAGCTAGATTTTGAATCCTAGCAATGGGACATCAGGGTGCCCTTAGGGCCACTCGGCCATCTGCTGTCCTTGACACACACTAGTGAATAAACTGACTCTTATGCCTGTGGGGCACACACTGTCACTTCCTGGGCCTCCAGCATTAAGCATCTGGCCTTGGCTCCCTGGCTTTGCCTGGTTCACCCTTAGAACTACCAAATTTCCTGAAATATGATATGGGCTGCCAGGTATAGCTGTCTCTCACTATAAGGACAGGATTTTCTGGCTTGTTTCATTATTTGCACCAAGCAGACAGCACTGGAGTCAGGCTTAAAGGATCACCACAGCATCACTGTGATAGGGCCTGAGGGGATGGTTTCTGAGACTCTCGTTCCCCAGGAGTCCTGTGTGAGTGGAAACAGACATACTTTCACCTACGAGAGGCAGCCTGGTTACTTATACCTCTGCCAGTTTCCACTGAGCAGCAAAATTAGGTTTTGGACATCTTGTGCAAAAGGAGGCAGGCCCTGCGGATATGAGCAATTAACCTCTAAATATTTAATAGAGGCTGTGACTGCTCCCCTCCCAGGAGAGAGGCTCTGGCTGGTCCTCTGCAAACAGGTCAGATAAAGCAGCAGCCAGGTTCCCAGACACTCATACCCCAGCGCCCTCTGCTCCAAGACCCCAGAGACCCTCAGGACAGGCGCTGGGATGAAAGACACCACCAAGTGAATGGCCTTTTGTGACCATGTTCTCTCCAGTGTTTACAAATGACAGAGTAAACAGGATGGACACACAGCCCTCGTGAGGCCCACGGATGTAATAAGCAGAGCATGAAGCGCCGACTCAGAGAGGTTGATGAAATTCACTGGGGCCCTGTGTGACTGCCAGCAGCATGGCTAGAATAGTGAACTTGCATGTGAGGAGGTGTATGCAAGAGTGAATGCGTGGTGTCTCCTGTCCAGAGAAATGGTCAGCTTCATGGCTTCCTTAAAGCCCTCTCTGACTTAATCCACTCACATCCTTCTCGCCATCCCAGCTTCCTGTCAGGGCTGATTTATTCAGCAGGTACAAAGACATAAAGCCTAGGGTTCACATAAATGCTGTCATTTCTTTTATTTTTTTTAAATTTATTTTTATTAGTTGGAGGCGAATTACTTTACAATATTGTAGTGGTTTATGCCATATATTGACATGAATCAGCCATGGATTTACATGTGTTCCCCATCCCGATCCCCCCTCCCACCTTCCTCTCCATCCCATCCCTCTGGGTCTTCCCAGTGTACCAGCCCTGAGCACTTGTCTCATGCATCCAACCTGGGCTGGTGATCTGTTTCACACTTGATAGTATACTTGTTTCAATGCTGTTCTCTCAGAACATCCCACCCTCGCCTTCTTCCACCGAGTCCAAAAGTCTGTTCTATACATCTGTGTCTCTTTTTCTGTTTTGCATATTGGGTTATCGTTACCATCTTTTTAAATTCCATATATATGCATTAGTATACAGTATTGGTCTTTATCTTTCTGGCTTACTTCACTCTGTATAATGGGCTCCAGTTTCATCCATCTCATTAGAACTGATTCAAATGAATTCTTTTTAATGGCTGCATAATATTCCATTGTGTATATGTACCATAGCTTCCTTATCCATTCGTCTGCTGATGGGCATCTAGGTTGCTTCCATGTCCTGGCAATTATAAACAGTGCTGCGATGAACACTGGGGTGCACGTGTCTCTTTCAGATCTGGTTTCCTTAGTGTGTATGCCCAGGAGTGGGATTGCTGGGTCATATGGCAGTTCTGTTTCCAGTTTTTTAAGGAATCTCCACACTGTTCTCCATAGTGGCTGTACTAGTTTGCATTCCCATCAACAGTGTAAGAGGGTTCCCTAACAAACACATGAAAAGACGCTCAACATCACTCATTATCAGAGAAATGCAAATCAAAACCACAATGAGGTACCATTACACGCCAGTCAGGATGGCTGCTATCCAAAAGTCTACAAGCAATAAATGCTGGAGAGGGTGTGGAGAAAAGGGAACCCTCTTACACTGTCATTTCTTTTAAAGTCAAAACCAAAGAATGAGCATGTTAGGCTGAAAACAAGTTTTAATATACAATATTAATATATTTGTCTTTACTCCAATGTAGTTGTAAAATATATTTTTAATATTATTTTATGAAAGGAGGAGTCCAGGGAGGCTAGGGGCAACAAAAGTCATCACTCAGATCCAATTCTCTTGTGTGTCTATGCCCAGAAGCACAGGCTTCTCAAGAGTCCCAGCAAAGGACAACGAGAAACAGTCCTTAGGCTGAGACTCACGCCAAGGCTAGCATCCTTCCTATATCAGGCTCCCTTATCCACAGTCTCCTCCTCTTGCATCAGAAATGCTCTGATCTCTCTCTCATTCACGTTTGTCGAGCCAAAGGAGACACAGCATGAATGCAGAAGCAACCATAATGCCAAAGAGAGTGTGTGGCAGGCCCCAAGCAAGATCAGTAGAGTGCTAAGGAATTCACAGATGGAGGCCATCGTTGCCACCGGAGCATTCAAGTGGCCATCCAGGAGGAGGAGCATCTTCCGCTCCTTTCAAAGCATGCTCTCCAGCTGCTCAGCTGGCGCCCCACGTGAGCCCCACCAGAGAAGCGAGTGAAGGACCTCTAATCCACTTACCTCCAAAGAGAGCTCTCCGTCACGCTTCCCAGGTTGAAGTCATATAGCTTCGTCAGGATAAGTATAACCTGAAAGGGGGATGTGGAGGAGGGCACAGGAGAGGAACGAGAAGGGGGAAAAAAAAGAGGAAGCCAACTTTAGTTTGTGCAACAATATTCACTGCATCTCAAATCACCCAGAGGAGGACTTAGAATTTATCTGTTGAGTTGAGGGGTATTATAGGATCAAGCACGGTGGGAAAATTATTAATTTAATGCTACCTCGTAACTGGTAGCATTTATTTTAATCCTGACAGTGCTTTGCACTTGAAATAAAACGTGGCAACAGGGATTAACTGGATATCTACAGTTGTTTCCCCACATCGCTCCTCCTTCAAGGTCAGGCACAGGCTGGCTAGTTCTGTCCACTCAGATGGCCACCCAGAGATCAGAGGATGGGCTTGCCTTTGATCCGGAGATGACTCTGACTTACAGACGTGGACCTAAAAGGGTAAGAAAGAACTGGGCCTGATTCTGTCTGTCTACAGAGGGGTTCAAAGAGATTTCATGTTCCCACCCCATCGCTAGCACCTCACAGCCATAAAATCTTGAACAACAGGCAAGCCCAGCCGCCAATGCTCTGTGACGCTGTCTGTCTTTCTCTGTGTCCCATCCATGGAGTAAGCAGGTCATTAGACTCCACCAGACTCCAGGACCACTTTCCTGACTCCAATTGAAAGAAACCCAGAAGAAAGCTACACATGACAAACAGCTGGACAGCCCGTAATAGGGTCAGCAGTTTTCTGAAATGAACTTTCATTGGCCAGACTACTCTCAGGCCCTTTAAACTTTTACAGCTGAGGACTTGGATCTCAGTCATTTCCCTGCTGCCCCCTCATGCACCTGGACAGTGGCTAAGGCACAATCCCATATATACAAGGATACTAAGTGCATGTACCTGAATCTATTTTAATCAAAACACAGGTGCCTAATATATAGCACCTGCCTGCACACGTGATAATCCAGTTACACATAATTGTGTTTATCTAAATTTAATGCACAACTCATTTCACTTTTCTCAACTCCTTCCCATTCCACAATTTAACTTCCTCCAGTTCATTTGCACAGCAGCCATTAAACTCTTTCCAGGATAATGAATTTCTGCTACCAAGACAGGGCTTTTGCATGCTAGGTATCCATTTAAGATTAAAGAAAAATAATCAGCCATTATATTGAACATTTTTATGGCATTTAACCAACGACAAGGCACTCATTTTGAGATTTATTCTCATCCAGCACCCCATGGGGTCGGTCAGCACAATTTCCATCTCTTTTATGTAAACTAAGAAAAAATTAAGAGGCAAGGATACGACCCATTATAGGTCAAAGAGAGTCCCAGAAAAACCTGACTTGGAAACTTCAACTTCTCTGCAAGGTCATGGTTGGAGGGTTCTTTAGGTCTCTTCCCAGATTTTGTCCTGTGATGAGGAGTCGTAGTTTGGCAAGAAACAGTCAAACCAAGAAGGACATCAAAGACGTGACTATTTTAAGAACAGTAGAATCTACCAAACCACCTGACCTATTGGTACCAAAAATGCAAGTTCATGTGGCCGACACAGTGGGGCCAAACACGCCAAGGTATCAGAGTCTGGAGCAGAGAAAGGTTTATCGCAGCACCCTGCAAGGAGACAAGTGGCTTATGCCCTAAAAACTCTGAACTCGCCAAAAGCTTTCAGTAAAGCCTAACTTTTCTAGCAAAGGTGAAGGAGGGGCATGGTTAGTTGCAGCAAACTTTCTGGTGTTAGATCCTTTGTTCTTGAGGTCAGGTCATGGTCAGGTAACCATGTTCCTGTAAATTTCTGCTGAACGAATGTTATTCCCTATTCTGACAAGAAACGGCACAGCTTTTGCCCTCCGAGGTCCTGGCCCTGGCTAAGAGGAGGCAGATGTCAGTTAGAAACTCCCTCAGGGCCAGGTCCCCAGACCCTACCCAGCTTTCATCGCTGAGGGAGCCAGGCACCCATAACCCAACTGGTCCTCTGGCTCCTCAGGCAACCCCAATGGCGGGGACAGGTCCTGTAGACTCCATCCAATGTGGACAGCTGCTGCCATTAGGTCACAGAGGTGGGGATGGGAGGAGAGGTTCATGGTCACCTCAAGGCTTGGGATAAGGCCAATGGGTGTCCCCAATGAGGGCTCTGGAGCCCTGCAGGACACAGCTCCCAGGCTGTTCCATGGGGCCCCCCAGCTTCCCTGCTGGCCGGCAACCAGAAGAGCTGGCGGGCACTAAAGGAGGAGGCTGGGTCCAACTCTTACCTCACTCTCCACCTAATGACCACCATTCCACCAAGAGTTGGCTGAATGACCCACTAACGGTCGCTCATTGACAACTGGCCACTTGTGCATGGGGCTCACTGTGGTGCCAACCAACGACTGAGCAGAACCACTAAGAGTCGCTCACCGACAGTTGCGTGCTTGGGGGAGGGGCCAACTGTGGTGCTGACCAATGGCTAAGCGGAACCTCTAACTGCCACTCTGACCTCCCACAGGTCTTCTGGTAATTAGATAACTAACCGTTGCCTGGTAATGCGTCTTGAGGTAATGGCACCCAGCGGCAGCCTTGTGCTAAGGGCTGCACACACCCCCACTCTGTTACACTATTAGCACAGCACAAAAGCAAGGAGCGTGTATCCTATGCAAAGTATTGCACTCCATGCCTTTCCCGTTTGCTTTCTCATTTGTTAAATTCAGGGGCTAACGGAGACAGGACTTGTCCAAACCTTCTCCAACCAAATGCCTATCAATGTACCAATAATTCCTATTTGTTAAATTAATTTAAATGCAGGCACACCAGATTTCTCTTCATTTTACTGCTTTCATTGTCAAAATCATTCTTTCACAGTCACTAGGTAAAAACATGAGTGGCTACATGTAGACCATCCCAAATTCTGGAGAAACTCAAAGCTATGTTCTTCTAGAAACAGTCAGAAGCCCTTTAGTGTCTGCCAGAGCAAGTCAGACTACTTCAGTGTCTTCTGATACCAAGCTTTCTGGGGCACAAAACAATCTCCAAAAAGTGCAAAGCACATAAAGGGAGAAAAAAGAGATGTTGAGGGTAAGAATCCTACTACTTAATAGAGGGTCTAACAAACAACTGGATCTGAGAACCCTTCTGAGAACCCAGAGCTGTTCTCATTCTATCAGCAGTTTTACCCAGTGCTTAGACCACTCTCCTTGTCTCCCTCCGTCTTCTCAGTCTTTATTATGTTTCTTACATATCTAATTTCTTTTTGGTGTCTGCTTCTCAGAGGATCCAAATAAATACATCCTTCCACAACTCCATGAATTTTATTTCTGCCTTCATAACAGATCGTTTCAATTTTGCTCTTAATACACATTTTTTTTTTTGTTAGAAGCCTTTACTGGATCCTCTGCCTAAGGATGAAATCCAGATTCCTTAACTGGTATGTAAGGCACCCCACAGTCTGACCCACATACTGTCCCAGGCACTTTTCCATGGATCTCAAGAAACTGCCCTCTGCTTTAACAATCCAAGTTCCCAAGGTGCCGCAGATAAGGAAATCCATTCTCACATCTCTGCTTCCCTTCTTCCCTGCTGTACTGTTGTGTCATTGCCTGTGAACAGTCCTTTCATTACTGCCTGCACCTGTCTGCCTTTGTTCAAGAAACAGCTCAGGATCCATCTTCCTCAAGTAGCCTGAAGTCCTATTACATTTAAAACTGCATCACGTAATTTGCCACAGAGTTAAACACTCTCTAGCTTCTGGGTGTCACAGGATCTGCCTTCTCAGCTCGATTCTGAACACCATGAGGCAGGCTTCACGTTTTCTACTTCTATCTCCCAAGAGACAGGCTTAGTACATCAAAGGTTCCCAAAGATCATTATTTTTGAGTCAGTGAAAGATAATGGTGTCTTAGCAGTAAAGCATAGTCTTCAGAAGGGGATGGTGTCAATCCAGTCTATTACCCCTGTTTTACAGATGAGGAAACAGACAGAGACAAAGTGACTCAAGTTAAAGTTCCAACAGTGTGTGGCCTTGGTCAAGGGCCCAGGGCACTGTTCAACCCATGTTATAAGCAAAGTTGGAGCCTAACTGTCACTGGGGAGCCTGCTAAATGAAGATTCCCTGGTCCCATTCTCAGCAAGTCTGACTTGGTGAGTCTTGGGGAGGACCCAGAAATCTTCATGTGGCTATTAGAGGACCAAGCTTTGAAAAAGACTCCATCACACCATGATTCCTCTCCCAAGTTTGGGCTGCAGTGACACTGCCTTCCAGTGTGGTGGATTCCTGATCTAGAAAAGCATTCCTGCCTTTAAATTGAGCTGAATTTTACAAAGAAAACAGGTCACAGGAGATGCATTAGAAGGATGCTTCCCAACAAAATCACCCCAGCATTCCTCCAGAGGAAAGGTCCAAACACAGAGAATTAGGACTGGAAACTTCCTTTCCCCTGGAGCCAGCATAGAAGGACAAGAATAAAGTTATGAAGAGATGATAATGTAACTTTAGCCCAAGATATCCTGTGCCTAGCAAAGAAAACAAAGATTAAAAGAAAGCCCGCCAAACCCTTGCTTCTCTCACCAATCAAAGCATTCCAAAGGCTCTGAGAAGGGAATTACCAGGGAAGAAAACTGAAAGAAGATGCAGAAAACCCACTAACAAGCCCCAGGCTACCTGGGAGAGGACTCAGATCAGAAAGTAGTGAGTGAGACCAAAGAATCACCAGTGGATAGATGAGGAAGGATGGAGGAGCTAGCCTGAGGTCCATAGCAAAGCTTGACATGACTCCTTTCCAGCAGATGTCCCCGGATGAGAGGTGCCAATCCAATTCAAAAAAGAAAAAGCAGGGACCAAAGATTAACTGAACCATTACTATGTGCTAAATACCACACTGGGTGCTTCTCAATTCTCACAACAAACTGTTGAGACTGAGAAGACATAATTAGCACTCCATTTTACAGATGAGAAAAGTGAGTCCTAAGAATTAAGCAGTCTGCTCCCCAATGTGCACAACTAGCAAGAGACTAAGCAAGCATTCCCACCCAGGGCTATGAGACTCTGTCATCC